AAGATATTGAGAGCTGCTGGGTATAATTTTCAAAAGTTTGCCCGAGAGCAAATTACTTTCCTAACCGCTGTGTATTTATGGCTTTATTAGTCATAATTTTCAAACAAATTCTAAACCAACCCGAAGGAAGAAAATATCAGCTTCATTTGCCACAGTCCCATTTTTCAAGATTAAAAAGAAAATTGCTGCAAGGCTCACTTAGTGGAAACAAAATCTTTACTGAACTGCACTGAAGGTCAAATATCTTATAGTACCCCAATCTTATGCATGGGATGCCATTAATTTCCACTTAACTCTCCATATTAGTAAATGTTTTGGCTCCTTATATTGAGATCCAAGGGCAGCAAAACTATGAGTTAGGAGAAATTTCTCCCTTCCCTTTGATGCTTAGCCAGATACTTCTCAGGCTTCACCCCATAACCTTCATCCTTTGTTAACTAAAGTTTTGGGTTGGATTGTCAAAATCACACCAGCTCAAGAAAAGTATAAATCTTTACCAAAATTTCCTAGGGGGCTTTCCTAGCTGGGCTTTAGATTTAATGGATGCTAATGTGCTTTTTTTTTTTTTTTTTCCCAGCCAATGTACAGTAAAGGAATAATGTATTAGTGACCAATTCAACAATAGTGGGGGTGTTTGGTAAAATGTCAGGAACGTTCAAAAGGAATAAATCAAAACCTATTATCCTTCAGCCCACAAAGTTAAAACAGCTTTTGCATTCAGCGCAACAAGCAAACACTTAACTGCTCCCCACAGATCTCAGTGTTCAAAGCTGGCTGGCTTTCAATAAAATGTTGTTTAAAGAAAAAAATATTGAGAAAACATATAGCGAGCTACATTCAAGCAACCCRAATCACATTCATCTTGTAGGAGTTGATAATTACGCGTAGCCTGAAATAAAATCCCAGATTTAAACCCTCACAAACTAATTCATTTTAAAAACCTGAGGCAAGAGGCAGAGCACCTTGTCTGCCCTTAGGAGAGACGGAGCACCCAGCACTGGATCCAATGTTGCAGAGCCAGGACCTGCACCAGCACCGCTGAGCCGGTCTGCAGGGCTGCGACGTGCAGGATGTGGGCTGCACCCTGCAACCTGGTCCTCCTCTCTCCTGGGCCTCACCATGAGACCAGCTGAGGTGCTTCTGAGGACAAAGGAAGGCTGCAAATATTGAAGCAGGGGAGCTATAAATGATATAATTTCGGCTCACGCAAACTGCCATGGCCCAGGGGAGAACACGCTGGCAGACAGAACAGAGAAGGTCCTCGGGAGTCTATCCTACCTTTTCCTACGCATAGCAATTTAATGGATAGAACTAATGAGAAATAAATAATTGTAGAAAGCACAAGTGAAAACCTGCCCACAACTCATTTCCAGCTAAGTCATGAGCATGCAAGTGATTCATGTAACGCAGATGAGGTTGCAAACTTCTAAGGACTTCCTTGGTAAACAAGCTGAGACCAAACACTCCCCAGGCTGCTCCTTGCAGACGTACGTGCACGTGTCACTCACGACTCCAGCTCCTGGAAAAAACAACTCTTACACAGCCCTGCTGTGGCAGAAACTGCTTTGGGCTGCTCCCGAGGGACGTGTTGCACAGGGCACACGAGACGTCTTTAACGAGTCACAGAGTTGCTGCCCCATCCAGCTGCCCCAAACCAGCTGCCTAGGGTGAAGGCTCCTGCTCGGGAACAACGGCAGTGTGGCAAGGGCACGGTCTAGCTGCAAACACCAGGACTGATCCTGTGTACAAGGTATATGTAGAAGAGACAAGAAAGTTAGCACAGGAGCGTGATGGACAGGGACCCATGGCAGCTTCTCAGGTGCCTGCCTTAGCGAAGGGGCCCATCGTGAATTGCTGCGCTGGGGCTGTGCTGCAGTGCCACGTGGTTTAATGGAAGGGGACTTGTGCACACGTGGGCATGAATAAAAGAGGTTGCACTAAGAATATACCTGACTTGTTTCACCAATTCCTCAGCTTGGTGAAAAACAAATAAGCATGCAACAGCATGCAGCTACCCACCCACTGCCAGACAGGCAGGGAGACGCCAGAAACAGGCCCCTGGGAATTAAAAGATCATTTTCCTATTGATTTAACACAGACGATCAGACTTGAACTGGAGTATCTGTATGTGCAGAACAGAACAAAGCAATCACGAAAGGGCAAAACTGGGCCCCTTGCTGCTGCTGGTGAAACGCACTCGGCGCAGCACGTCCGAGCCCGGGGAGATGGGGACGCTGCTGCTGCTCCCGGCACAACCTCCTCCCGCTGCCCCCAAGCTCCGTGGAGGCTGCGAGGACAAATCCTGCAGTCTGCAGCTCCTCCCTTGGCCTCATCTCTCCTGGCAGCACGAGCTTGCAGCTTGAGCATGGTAAAAAACAGCATATTTAGGTCCCTGGGCATGGAGAACTTTCTCTCCAGGTCGCAGGTAGGCCAGGTGCCTGGGCAAAGGGGCTCCAAGGAAACAGTCATCTCTGCAGGTCTGAAAGCAGCTAAAGTAACATCGTTTTCCACACATAGCTGGTTTTGCTGAAATGAGCAGGTCATGTACTGTATTCTCCCTCTTCCTTACCCCTCCTGGAGCAATGCAAAGTGGTGCCATTGAATCAGACCCTCTTCTAGTGTGGATGGGATAGCGCAGATCTTCTCAGAACAGAAAGAAAAAGCTAAAAAGTAGGCAGAAACAAGCAGTACTTGGATTCTTCCATGACATTAAAACCTAGCCAACTGGCAATCAAGAATATTGTAATCTGGAAGCAAACACACAGTGAAGAGGCTGAGCACGGGCAAGGTGGGGACTGAAGCCTGGAGAAGCCCTCAATCTTCTGAGGTTTCCCCTTCGTCTTGTGGCTGGAAGCCTGGGCTGCAAGGCTGCAAACAAGAAGCTATCCACTACCTTTGTAACGTATATGGTTTTGTTGTTGTGTTTAATCAGGCAATAAAGATGCATGATCCCCTGCTGGTCTCCCCTTGCAGCCTGAGCCTGCTTGTGCTGGGGTCAGAACAGGATACAGCTTTAAGGTAAATTAAMTTACCAACCAAGAGGAGTGTTTGGAGGTGTGAGCCCTTTTCTATGGCAGTTAAACTCTGTGGGTGGTGGGAATAGGGGGCCTTAATTTCACTTCCAGCAGGGCTTCGCAGCAGAGAGCGCAGGGGGGAAAGCATYTCAAAAGTCCCCAGGAAACGGGTGCTGAAAGCAGACCCAAGTGACATTCATGGTTATTGCAGGAGACCCCAGCGATAACGTGAGACATTTGCTTGATGCCTCTGCAACTTCCTTCTTTATTTTTTCCCATGTAATTGTTACATTCTAATGAACTCCTGCCAGTTTTAGCCCTTCATCATTAAAGGGGAAGGAAGGAGGGAGCAAGAGCAGCGAAAGGGGAGGAGAGACGACTGCTTTTTCTGGGCATCTGCCACGGCTGATTGCTACAAGGCAGAGTGGCAGTTTATGGGTGGAATTACACGGCCGTCCCTGCTGCCGAGAAGCACTGCACGCCTCATACTGCGTGCCACAAATGCCTGAATCCCATCAGGATTCAGGGCTCCGATATTCCCTGCGGAATGATACGTCTCAGTGCYGGATCCTACCAGCCAGGCCCCTTCAAGCAAATCTGCTGGCTGCTGCAAAGAGCACAGCATTTTCCCCTTTCTCCAACGTGCTCATTACTGTATTTATCTATTTAAATAGCCAATTGAGTTCCAACACGTTTTTAACCACAAGGGTTTCTGCTTTCACTACTCCCCAGTTAACCAGATGGTCAGACTTATTAAGCAATTAGAATCAAAGTTTATTTACCCATTCCYCTGGAACAAGGTTCGAGCCAGTGCCACGTTATGCAGGCTTAAAGGTTCTGCTAATTTACTTTAATCCACTTAAACCTTTAAAGCAAAGATAATGGAAAACAGGCGAGAAACCTCTTACACTTTCCAAACGAAGAGACAATAGTTTCCTCCTCTCCAAGAGCCTGGAAAGGTCAGCAGGGAAGCCTCTCACTGCTTTCTTCCTGGAAACCCTATCTCAAAGGTCACAAACCCCTGACTTAATTGCCTCTAGCAAAGAAGCTAACTTGATACACGTTGCAAAGTATTTAATTGCCTTTAGCAAAGGCAATTTCTTTAGCAAAGAAGGTAACCAGATATGTATTGCAAGGCCCTAAATGGCAACCAAAATCAATAGTTCAGCATTTAGGAGGGAGCCAGGTTTAGCAAGGAGACTCAACCAATGATGCTGACATACTCAGCTTCATATGCTACACTGGGGCAAATTCAGAAATAACGTGGATGCCTCTAACTTGAGCTGAGTGTCATGAGGGTGAGTGGATGCAATAGTGAGAGAGCATCCAAGGGTACACCAACATCCACAGAAAATTCCACAGGGATAGGAATAAGGAAAACCCCATGCTCTGGACAAACATAAAGAGTGTGTGGTGTAGCAGGATGCTGCAGTGCAAGCATCTTATAGTCTTTAACCCTGTTCAGCATCTAGATGAAAGACAGAAAAATTATGGACAGAGGTGATAAGTACATGAAGAAAGARCAACGAGTAAGAAGGCAGCCACACACTACAGCTGCAGAACAGTTTGTTTTTCTTGCAATTTGTCCATGTCCAAATACTTCATCACTCTTCATTTATTAAATATCCAGATCTGCACAGCTATGTGATGTCTATAAGCATCACTGAATCCATGTAGGGAAAAAGAAACAGGCACAGGTTCAGAGTGGCACAAGATTACAGGTCACCTCTACTAGAACTGGAAATGGAGATTCTTAGACCAACTCCAGTCCCTAACCTGACTGAATTAAGTGACTGCTCTGAAAGCACAGAGTGAAACTGCTGGAAGGCATCAAAGCGAATATGATTCATCGGGCCATTTGCAGTGGCCTGTGAATCACAGGTTTAAGGCAAACAGTGCAGGGTAAACCATCTTCCAGAAAACACCAAGAAGGACTTCAAAATGGATCATCCTACTGGAACTTGAAACAGGAACAGAAGCTCTTACCTTCAAAAGYAATTGTGGGGTGCTCTTTCCTGACACATTGCTGATGTTCAGCTTCAGAGTATTCAGGTACATTCTGTGATGCTGAGAGATGAAAAGCAAGAAGAAAAAGGCTTGGCAATGACAGGGAAATGGCCTTTAATCTTGAAACAACCATGACTGAAGGGCAGCTGCAGCTCTAGCTTCCAAGGTAGGCCCGGGGAGGATACCTGAAATAAAAACAATTCCATTTTAGAAAGATGAATGCTCTGCTGAAGAGTGCAACATGGGTACAGAAGGGCTGAGGTTCCCCTTTCATCCCAACCCCACTTGTGCACATGACAATATTCCACAAACAACACCTTAAAAAAATGAGCCAATTTACAACCATATTAGTGCTGCTAGCTTCAAAAAGGAGTGAGAGCTCTGGGTGCTTCTGCCTCCACGTCCTCACACAGTACCCGGTGCTCAACGGCCAGAGCTGGCAGAACAAGAGGCCTTCAGACACGCCACGTAAACCCGCCCCAAGCTCCCCAAGTCGCAGCTCGGGAAAATCCGCATTGCCAAGTTCCATCTCAGCGACACGCACCAGGTGTTGGCCCCTTGTAACTTTGTGCAGCTACTGCAGGTGTGTTTTCAAACAGTCTGCCACACTAAAATCTTCCCATTAGCTTCACACACTAAGGAGATGCTTGCTCCCTTCAGGTGCATGGATTCGGGAAGGCTCCAGAGGTGGGGAGGCACCAGCGGAGCCATCCTGCGCTGCTGCCAGGGCTGCGGGAAGATGGATTCTGTGCTCTGTCCTTATCTATATTTCTCCATGATTTWAAATGTTAGTATAAAGATGAACTGCCAGTGCATCCATTATGTGAATCCTCAGCAGCCGCTACTACTTTTGACTGAAAATAACAGTTAGGATTTGGAGAGTTCTCCGGTCTTTTTCCCCGCCCTAGCCAGTGCAAATGAGAGATCCCAGCCTTTCACACCTTTCCAGCCCCTCTAACGCACAGGGCTGTATAAAACTTTCCTGCAGTTCTCCCAAGCAGGTTCTGCAGCACTTCACTGAGGAGGATGCTTTTTAAACACATCAAATAGCAAACTAGATTAAAAACTGGGCCTGGCAGAAGTAAGAGACGTGAAATCATCCACAGCAAAGGCCTGCACGGTCTTCAGTCACTGAGTACAAGGGTGCTGCTGGGCCAGGCCTAAGTGGCTACYATGGAGTTTCAGGTGACAAGAGATGTGCAAGCCCTATTACAATGGGAATTAGTGCTGTGATGAAGCAATGATCTCAAGCCAGGTGGATTCAGTTCTCTGCAAGGCAGGGGAYGGTGCTCAGAGACACACGGTCAGGCTTCCCTTGCAGCCTCCAACGCTCCGCTAAAGTCCAACAGAGTCTGGATCAGCAGAAGAGTAAATCCAAGTTTCACGCTCATCGGGGCCAGGGGACCATGGAGAGCTGCACACGGGAGGCCGCAGAGTCCCACAGCCCATTCTGTGCCAAAGCGGGGCTCCCCATTGCACCTTTACTCGTGGTTTGTCTGGGCTAGCTGTAAAATGTGCCATGAGGCCAGATTCCTGCCACTTTCCCTGCGAGATTTTACCCCAGTCCAACAGACCTCTGCGCTCCTTAGAAAGTTGTAACCAATAGTTGGGGTCAAGTTCCATCCTCTTCGTTAAAGTTCAGGTCGATCATTGCAGGGAGATCCAAAATGCGCATGAAAACCGTGGTTTCAAAAGTGACATGAAGTGGAAAGTCATTCACAGGGCAAAGATGAAATAGAAACAACACCAACAAAAAAACTTTGTATCCTCCCTTATCTCCCTTTCTTCCTTCCTCTGAGTCCACCCAATTTGTGGAGTTCTCATGTGCTGGAAAATTAAACAGGATCAGGTAGAGCTCTGCACTGATACCCATTGACTCCAGTGGAGGATGGCAACTTGATGCAGGTGACAGGAATCAGAGCCCTGGAGCATCAGCCCAACAGGAGTCACAGAGCAGGCAGGGCTGCAAAAGGTAACGGCTACAAGCGGCCCCTTCCCAGGCGGCCCGGGGCATTTAATTCTCAGTGATTTTTAAAAGGCTCTAAATAGATAAAGAAGGGGGTGCTATGAGCAGGGCTATGAGCTATGAGTAGGGCTATGAGCTATGAGCAGGCTGTGAGCAGTGCTGTGAGCTCCTGGCCCGGCTAGAGCCAAGCACGGCTCCGGCCGGCGCTTGCACCGCTGCCCCAGCGCTAAGCCCCGTGGACGCAGTTTAAAGGCTATAAAAAGAGCTGTTCTTATTAGGCTCCCTCTGCTCCGAGTGGCTTAGGGCTCAAGAAATCAGCTGTCAAGGCTGCAGTGCAGATGAGAGACAAGAGCTCAAATCCCCAGTTAAACCCAAAGCCGCGGCAGGACATACCACTTAACTTCTTCATTTACTCATCCTGATGCATCTCAAGCACCATGGCTGTTTTCCTCCCGCAGATCCAGGCACGGGAGAAGGGAGCTCAGTGCCCCATKAGGGCTCTGTGCCCGGGCTCTCTCCCCTGCCCTCCGCACGGCGCCCGGGGGAGGCTCCCTTGGCTCCGGGGATCCACGGGGGTATTTCATAGGGCACCGCTGCTGCCACCGTCCTCCTGTCTCTTAAATCAGGGTGGCACCGGACCCTTGTGCAGGGCAGGGGCCCCGCGCGGCCTCCCGCCCCAGCGCTGCATCCATCTCCATCCCTCCCGCCTCCGCATGTGGGGCAGGAGCCTCCTCCAGCTCTCCCTGCTCTGTATCATTGTGCTTCCCATTGATTTCCCGGGAACTAAGCGTGATTTACAGAGGGTAACGCAGATCAGGCCCCCTTTGACTAAAGCTCCATGTCGAAAAGAAAAATACCTTCAATCAATCTTCCCGGCTCTAAAACAAAGCGCACGTTAAAAATGGCTGTACCAGGAATACAGAGCCTGCTTCCCTCTGACTGTAACTCTCATTTTGACTTAATAAAATGTGACAGTGAAGTTTAAGGATAAAAGAAAATGCTTCATCTTTCATTTTTAAAGGGAAGAAATGCCTTTAAAAAGACTAAAAAAGGAACCTCCTGAAAAAAAAAAAAAAAAAAGCAGCCCTAATTCCTCCATTCAGGATCTTTTGTGATAGACACAGTTATGATATTATTAGAGGGAGATAGCAGAGGGAAGATGACCACTGGAAAGAGGCGAACATCAAAATATTCAGAAAAGAAAAGCACTGCACAAAAAGGCAATAAATACAAAATAAATATAAACTTCGCAAGGCAGGACAGCTCGGCAAGGCGGCTGCGACAAGCTGGCACAGGCAGCTCTGCCCTAGAAAACAGCGCCTGCCAAGGCCAAAACCCTGGCCCTTTTCCTATTCACGCGCCTCTCCCGGCCCTTCCCCTTGGGAATCCGGTCCGGAGGCTGCTGATGCTGCCCGAGAAAAGGGCCCGGCTTTTCCGCGTGCCCTTCAGGGCCACGTCGGTCGGCTCAGCTCCAACAACACTGCCCTGCAGTGTCCAACTCGTGGGCGCCCCCGGGTTGGGCTCTGGCCTCCTGGGCCTCTCCTTTGCTCACTTTTGAGGCCAGAGCACGGCACTCACGAGTCAAACCGGTGGTGGGATGAGTTTGTGAAGAGATCTTGCTCTGCTTTAGTTAAATCCCCTACAGTCACCTGAGGAACGGGCTGGTTTCCTTCCGGTTTCTCCACCATTCTTGCTCTGGCAGGGCTTTGCTGTGCTCTCGTGTCCACCTTGTCAAGAGATTCCCATGGCCGTCGTTGCAGCACGTGTCCTCGCAGTGAGCTTGTTCTCGCCCCAGGAAGACAGGACTACATTTTCATGCATATAATCCGAGGGTTATCATTTAAAACACCCTGCAATTCAGCAGCAGGGAGGATCACAAGAGCGTGCAGGTAATATGCTCTCCTGTGGCAAAGCAGAAACCTGAGCTCCATCCTAACCACGGCATCACGCTCAGTTCCTGCTTCACACAACATCTGAAAAGTGCCGCTTACTCTATCAGACACATTTTACATCAGGAATAAAACAACCAGGATCTGGCAATACAGGTTCCTTTATTGAATCCTTCTTGTTATCGAGATATATATATATAAATAATTCAGGCAAGTCTGTGCAAAGGAGAAATTGGTTTAACCTAATATGCTCTGAGGTTCATGGCTCATGAAGCAGAGCTGAATATTAATAGCCCACAGTTAGAAGTTGGAGCCAGACGTTTCTCAGTGGTGCCCAGGGACAGGATGACAGGCAAGGGGCACAGAATGAAGCCCAGGAAACTGTGTGACCAGAAGAAAACACATCTGCACTGCGCGGGGAGGCTGAGCACTGCAACAGGTTGTCCAAGAGGCTGTGGAGTCTCCATCCTTGAAGACATTCAAGCCCCAGCTGGACACAGCCCTGGGCAGCCTGCTCGAGCAGGTTAACTCAAGCTGACCCTGCTTGAGCAGGGCTTGGATCAGATGACAGGTGCCTTCCAATCACAGTTATTTTGTGACATTCAAAAGATGGGCAGCGTCCTTTGGAGCCTCTTATTTCTAGAGCACTATTTGCTTGCTATTCAAGGYCCCAAACCAAGACCACAAAGTTCTCATTTGGATCAAGTAACAGAGAATGAAACTCCTTAATAGAGGCTCAGTATGAAATGAATTGATGCATCCATTTTATGGACCAGTGTATAAAAGCAACGAGCAGCACCAGCCACCCCTTGGCTGCTTAGCCTCAGCAGCACACTTAATAGCTCAATGGTCCTGGAAACCAAAGAGTTTCCTCACCTTCAGAGGAGGCCCTCCAGAACAGGAACCCAGTATAAAAAGCTTCATTAAATCTAGCTGATTTAACAAAAAAGCCTGTGTAATGGAGCAAAATATACTGTACTGCTGGGTTCCTGCCAAGCCCAGTGGGCATAAGTAAATACCTGCTCTGCTGACACTCAGACCTGCTCTTGAGCAGCACTTACTTGACCACACATTGAGTGCTTCCCCAAGCGCTTCAAGAGGCCCTCCCCAAAGGACTCTAGAACTTCTTTTCACTGGCTATGCATAATATAAGACATGAGGGGTTCTGTTAGGGGTTGTTTGTATGAATTTAGCACTTGTGAAAGGTGCCTTGGAGTCTCAAGTCCTCTGTTTATCCAGAGATCATACCTGGCAATGAAAGCTTCTTCACATTTGGTTTGCTGTGGTGCACCTCGGCTGCTCTCYAGAAGACTACCTGTTGTAGGAATGG